GTATGGGATCGTGTCATTCGGGAAACACAATAACCACAACAACAACAACAACAACCACAACAATATAGGCCATCCAACCATATGTATATGATGCATGCCAATGTAATGCAATGACATGCCAATGTCGCTCCTCATTTGTAAAACATTTTCATTTTATCGTTCCAAATAGTTAATGCAACCCGACCTATAATAGCTCCATGGCATCATGAGAGAAGGGTTGGCTAGCTATTCCCGACCACATAACATCTCCAAGGCGTCGTTTCGGGCCTAGGTAGCTTAACCACGCTAGGGTCTCTCCCTAGTTCCCTCTAGATCACATTAACACCATGAACCACTAGGCAGCTCCTAGGTGCCTGAGTTTTCGCAAACCACTTTTCAAAATATTTTCCCAAAATGATTTTTCATTTCATTTCAAATCAATTCACCTATTTCTTGCCCAAATGTAATGCATTAATACTTCATGCTTTCAATGTCATGCCAATAGTAAACCCTTATACATTGCATTCGAATTTAACAATATAGCATACTTTGTACAAAATTTTTAAGGAATTACTTCATGCTTTCATATAAATACAATCCGGCATTTTAAACACATTAGGTAAGGAATAACACACATAAGCATGCTTCTTCACATTTTAGTAATTAGCACATAGGCAATCACAACTTAAACAATACATTGAAAGTCATATACACAACATAAAATTCATATTGAATAAAATTCTAACACAATCAAAGCATGCTTTTATATCACAATCAAAGAATTAATTCACAAAGCTCAAAGAAAGCATGTATTAGAGACCTCTATCTCAATTTAGAAGAAAAATCTCAAATTAAGCTCAAGAACCGAAATCCCAAAGTGGTCCAAATGGGACTTTGCTTCGATCAAAATGAAGCCCTCGTTGTGCTCCTCAAATTTACCTTCAGTGGCTAAGTCAAAATCCCAAAGAATAAGCCTAGATCTAAGCTTGTATGGAGGGAAAAAAGAAGAAGAAAAAGAAAGACAATATACAGAAAGAAAGAAAAAACTGCGTGGAAAGAAGAATAAGAATGGTCCAAGTAATGGCCATAAGGCCATTATTATAACTAAAGTGTATTGGCGGATCCCACAGCTTTAATAATAACATCATGTACCATTATAAATATATATATACATTAAACGCTTTACAACCACATATTTAAGCATACAATCATGCAATTATACACCAAACAATAATGCATGGAATGCAACAAACTCGAAAAATAAACCCTGTATGCTACAACTCCGGTTGCGGGTCCCGTTCGGAACCTCTCGGCCCGAAAAATAGAAAAATGTCGAAATGACAACCAATGCATTTCCAAGAGTCCTGAACTCGAGGAAATGCCCCAACCAACTCTTAGAGCATACTCGGCACACTCCATGGTATCCGGCACACAAAACGAGACAAGGATTAAAATAATCCAAAAAATCAAAAAATCCCTGAAAATGAAAAATAGGAAAAATCAAGATCATTACACTTTGTGTCAAGAGAATGATTGAGGAGCTTCCGGTTGCCACCCGACAGGCCAATCCACCTCCCGCGGTGGAATAATAACTGGCCCCGCTCGATCCTCAACCCGAGCATCAAAACGAGTGGTTAAACCCATCGCTGGCCCAAGGACTCAATGATCCTCGTCAGCAGCCAAGGGCCCCCTCGGCAGGCACCAAATCTTAATGTGCTATGTGCAGCCCTAGAGCGGTACGATGGGGATGACACAACAATCCAATCTCGCGCCACGGCAGACTCCACGTTGGGAGGATTGCGATTGTTGCTCTTCTTTAGTGTGTACACAAAATAATGTACTTTTGAATATCTAGAAATATATGTCAAATGGGTGTCAACTTTTACATTTATAAAAGCCATTTAACACTTATACAATGAAATATAGTGAGAAGGGATCGTCCTCAGGGATTGAATCTCGTGTTGGAATTAAACTTGACCTTAGTGATTCAAAAGATTGAAAAGAGGTTTGGGTTGGTGATTAAATAGAATTCAATTAATAAAACATGTAATAAAATTAAACTAAAGTGAGCTAGGGGTTTAAGATATAGAAGAGAGTTTTAGGGTTTAAAGGAGTCACTACTAAGCTAATTAATGCAATTAACCATTTGCTTTCAATATATTAATGGGGAAATCATTATTGCAATCTAAATGTAACTACAATCATTAGTACAGCTTGCAATTATACGCATGGGACTATCCAATTCATTGCATGAATTGCATATCTACCTAACAACAAGTAAAATAGGGTGTAGAACAAACCATCAAGATAGAGGCATAACCCATCAAACTAATATATATATATATATATATATATATATATATATATATATATATATATATATATATTTTATTTCTCTCTCTAATTTTTTTTTTCTTTCTCTATAATATCTCTTTGTGGCCGTTTCTCTGCCCATATATATATATATTGTTGGGAAACGTGCAAGTTTTTAAAACTTTTCGAGAGATTTTGATTCATAGATCTTGATTCATCACATAGAGACAAGTTTTATGCAAAAATAAAATATGATGTATCATTTAATTAACAGATCGAATACTTATATCAAAGGTCTGAGTAAACATTTAAATCTTTCCTTTAAAGTGAATGTTCTCACTTATTGTATATTCCTTAGCAAGATGCATTCTCCTTGGATCTCCATCTTCTTGGTAATAATTTTGCCTTTAGGAATCACCCATAAGCCTCCATGAATGACCTTGGAAAATTAGGCTTGTGGGAGCTTCCATTAGATGAGAACACTAACCCTAATTTTCTAGAGAGAGAAAATAGATTCATTTTTCCTTCTTCCAAAAATCACCCTTAAAATATACATAGACCATGTATATTTATAGGCAACATAAAGATAAAGAAAAGGAAACAATAAATCATTCTCAATCTCTAATTCACATGTCTCAAATCTAACAAAATTCCAATATCAAGTTGGGCTATGAGTGAGAATCATTTGGGCTTATTATTTTATTGGCTACAATGAATTAATAATTGGTCCGGTCCATGAACCCAATTCATTTAATTTATAAATTAATTTCTACTGCACTAAAAAAAATTAATTGAACTCCAATTAGATAATAAATAACCTCTTAGTCAATGTTGCACTTTGACCCCTTTATGCATAATTAGTTATCGGATAAATAAAGTCATCAATCCGACTACTTAATTAATATATTTATTTTAGAACCATTGATTATTTCTATCTCGATCACAATAAAACCCTTGTTTGACAAAAATAATAATTTAAATAAATAAATATATAATAAATCATTTTGTCTAAAAACACATGAAGGCTTTCGAATTTACTTTGTGATCAATCATAATTAATACAAAATGAATACAAGTAACAATGATGCAAATATTGAAAATATAACCCTTTAACTATTAATTACATAACTACCCAAAGTGTTGGTCTAAGGATCTCGAAGTATTCGCCGAACAAATCAAAGTAATTATTAATTAATAAAAGAGTATATACTTTTATCATACTTAAGAGTCAAAAGCCATAACAGTGATAGGGAGCAATTGCATACGATGGCTCTCGCAATATATCTCAACCTAACGCGGATCCAGTTCAAGTCTTAATTAATTATAAGTCCATCCATAATTACCGACTATGAACAATTTATGATTACTATTTATATTCATGTATTGATCGCCATCACATACATATATAAATATCTCTTGTAATCAAGTGGACACTATCAATTCTATAATGAATCGAAACATAATACATTGAATTCACCAATTGTATAAAGCATAAATATTTCAGAAACGTCAGGAACATATGTCACTTTAATCCAAACATGAATTTGCTATGCCAGGACATATAAATCCCAACATATATATCTTTCTAAAATATTTTTTTTATCTCTATCTCTGTCTAAATTTTTTCTATCTATAATATCTCTTTGTTCTAATTTTTTTTTTCTCTCTATAATATATCTTTGTGGTCGTCTCTCTGTCTCAATTTTTTCTCTCTTTAAAATATATTTTGTAGCCCCCCATATATAACTCTATAATTTTTTTTTCTCTCTCTGTAAGTTTTTTTCTCTGTCTCTCTATAATTTTTTTCTCTCTCTAAAAATTTTGTGGCTGCCTATATTATCTCTCTAATTTTGGTTCTTCTCTCTAAAAGTGTTGCTGCCAATATTATCTCTCCCCATAAAATTTCTCTCTCTCACCAATCTCTCTCTCTAAATTTGTGTTATTTTGAATTTTTTTCTCATTTGTTTCCTCTTTGCTTTGCTCTTATATTTTGTTTCTCATATTTTTTCTCTTTGCTTTGCTCTTAAATTTTGTGTTAACAGCTATGGAATTGGTTGGAAATTCAGGAGCCAATCATAACCACTCATAACACTGCATCTAACATAAATTACAAGTAAATAACATAATCAACCAAAATGAGCAAAAAAACGTTATACTTGTCAAGGCATAAGGCAAGTATACTGCGTCTCATCATTCAATCAAAATGAACATGGCCAAACAAAATTATAACATCACCAACGGTTAAAGTATACGGCAAGTATATAGCTTCAATCTCAACGGTTATGACTTTAAGGATAATTTTGACATTTTGTTTTTTGCTTTTGTTTATTTTTATTTATTATTATTATTATTTTTAATGATAAAGTAAGACTAATTTAGTAATTTTAACATCAAAATTATGATTTGTCTTTATTTGCACAAATTAGAAATAGCAGGGCAATTTTTCGAATAGTAAGGGGGTAATTACACATTTTGTATATTATAAGGGTGTGCCGGTTCTTATTTATTTATTTTTTTTCTTTTTGTAGTTAACCGTTTTTAATAATATAATAATAGGCTAGATAAGCAAACTAATCACGAAAAAATGACAAATTTTGGATTTATTTACAATTATACCAAACTTAAACAGAGGTTATTGTAGTTTACCCAAATTATATAACAAATTAAAAGATCCATATATAGTTCATTAGTATGATACAAAAGCAAGATTAAGGGGAACAATTATAAGAGAGTGTAGCATAAATAGTTTGCAAGAGGGTGAGAACTAGAAGAATGAAAGCAGCAACGAATGATATGATTCGCCATGGATTCGAGAAATAATCGTTTCTTAACGCGGCCTTATATCTGCTCCACCGAGCAAGCAAAGACGTTTTAAGCTTGTGTCTGTTCCACTCTGCGGAGTCGCGGTAGGCATTCACTTGCTCGCACAGTCTAGGGTAATAGAAGCGACTCAGAACAATTTTACTGCAGATGCTATCGAAGAAATCTGTTACGTCATTGTCAATACGCGAAGCAATTATGATGCCTTTCTGACATAGTAAATCGATGTCTTTTGGGGAGCGGATGAGGCTGTTCATGAGCATTGCGTACGATGAAATTTGCTGGCAGACACCATGAGTACTGCCGCATTGTTCGTAAGCAATCAAGTTCAAGAACACTGATACCATTGTTTCGTCACGTATTCGAAACTCTGAAAATTTAATCACTCCTCCATCGAATGTTATGTCCAGAAAACCGCTTGTCATGTCATTTTGAATCTCAATTCCAGCCTCCACAAGCTCCGTTGCACAATGTTTGAATCCAAAAGAACCATCACCATTTACCCACCGTATAACGGAAACACTCGACAGGCTGTTATAGTAAAAGATTTCGAGTAAATGACGGCAATTTTTGATGGGCTTCGGCTTCTTGTACAAACGCAGAGAGGACGTGAAGAAACAATAAACACTCTCAGTGAGCGAAAAGTTTGGAAAGCGTTCTCCCATGGAGTTTTCTATAGTGTCAAGCAAAGCCCGGAGAGCGGCGAAGGGAATCTGATTCTCGAATAATAGCAGATCTCGTGCTACTGCTGAAGCCATGAAAGGATTATTGACATTCATATGATCATAGTAATTAAAATCATTTACCGAGCTCCTGATGAAAAATTCAAGTATGAAGCAACAATCGATTAGAAAACTTCCATCCTGCAAAAACAAATTCTCATTTGTACCAGATCCATAGCATTCAAAATACGTCGTTTCCAAATGATGGAAAGCTTCTTTTGCATCGTTCCATGTCTTCTCCGGTTGTGGTGTTCGATTGAGAAGGTACACCACATAGTGGCGCTTGTACTCTTGCATTTTTTGGAGATCTGCATTTGTAGAGTGCAAAGGTCCAATTGAAACCATACACGGGCTATATGCATCCTCTTTGATTTTTCGTAGTTTGCTTGGAACCCTATGTATTTTACACTTCGTTGGCGTGTCTCTGCAGTCTCTTTCTATACCAAGCTCAGATTCAATACGTTTCATCTGAAATTCACGCGAGTCTTCCATTTTAACACTTCAAGAACCTGTAAATCGGTCTGAACGTAATATATGCAATAAATAAAGGAAAAGAAAGAAAACAAATGCTTAACAAATAATAACTATACACTAAGGACTGAGTAATAAGCAGACAACCATTAATTGCACCTAGCTTCTTAATGACTAACCATCAACTATCATATTCTATATATATATATATATATTCTGCATTTACCAAAAAGAAAACTATCATTTTCTTTTTCATTATAATTTGAAACAACAAAATTGCAAAAGGCTATTCCTCTCCTACCAACATGCTCACCTAGCTTGATATATATATATATTTCTCGACCGGATCGACAGGACCTCCTTCAGGTTGTTCTACTGCCGATATATTTTGCTTCAGATCTTACGTCTGATGAATTGGAGATGAATGAGAGCAAAAGAGTTGAGGTTCACTTGGTATTGACGTACAGGAGAGTTATACCGCGGATGTAGCAGATTTAAAAAAAATAACCTCAATAATCACCATGCAAATAAAATCACCCTTATAATAGGTCCGCTGTTGAATTGAACAGCGGACATAGCGCCACGTGGGAGAGCTGGATTCTTAAAAAAAAAAAAATTAAATATTATTTATCTAGTGCAAGACCTGGTCTTCTTGTGATGGGTGTTTTGAAAACAGTATTTGCCAATGGCGAACAACAGCTACACTCTTGTTAAGATTCTCTCTCCTCTTCGGTTTTAGCAATTACCCATTATTCTCTCCATTCCAAAATATGTGTCATACTTTTTTTTTTTTTTTTTTTTTTTTTTTTTTTTTTTTTTTTTTTGGTCTCAAAATTAGTGTCCGCTTTCTTTTTTCAAATAAGATGTGAATCCTTTTTCAAATAATATACTTCACATTTTTCCATATATGTAATTTGAGTTTAAAATTTTAAACTTGAATATTCAAACTTAAAAAGGTAAGTTAGTAATTTTCCAGATAAGACATATTCTACATGTTCCCTTAAAAATTACTCCCCATAAACGACATTTAAATTGGGAAAATGGAGTATTAACCGGGAGTAGGGGTGCTGGGTTGGACATTCCAAACCCATGCGAATCTAGTCTGATTTTTTGTGTTTGGCCAATTATTTCTATAATTAAGGTTGGGATTGAGTTGAGGTGCTAGCAACCGAGCAAACTCGAACTCAAATTCTGATATTATTTATATATATATTTTAAATTTAAATGCATTATATATAGTATATACTCCTCAAATTATCAAATTATGGTCACTTTCTTCTTTTTAACGCCTTCGTTAAATCTTAATTTATTGTATAGTAGCATTTAGTAGAATTACTTTTATAAGCATTTGTTAGTAATTTATTAAAAATTTGCAATAAGTTTTTAAATATATATATATATATATATATATATTTTTAACAGTAATTTATCATATTGGCCATCTGGGCAACTCAAATTAACCCGACTTTTGAATTCGAAATCTAAGCCCGAGCTAAAACTCGAGTTTAAAACTAGCAGGATGGATTGGACTCGGGTTAAGTAGTTAGGAGTTGACGATAGGGCTAGGCATTGGCCTTGGGCTTGGGTTAAACATTTTATATATTGGGTTGGGCGCATGTTAGACCTCCAACTCACCCAACCCGCCTGAGTTACAGCCTTACCCAAGATTACTAAACAATAAGTTATTATGGTGTTATATATGTGTGTGTGTGTGTGTAGTTTCACATATACAAGTAAGGGTGCAAAAATGCCTAGTCCGTATGCCCACCCTCCAAAACTCTTGTACCTTTTTAAAATACTAGTAAAAGCACACATGCTCATAAGTGATTATAATTGAAATCAAATAATATATGTTGCATTTGTAATGGTAACATCTAAAGAGTTTAATTACTAAAAGTCTTGTAGCCTAGTAGTATCTCCAATATTTCTTATAGTAGATGATGAGGGTTTGATACCTTGATGAGCGCTGAAAAGTGCGCATTTAAACCCCTTAAGTTTGAGTGTTCTAGGACCTTTATCTATCTTATTTTTTCGTTTTAGACTAATTTCTTGTTATTTTCTTTTTTAGGTCAATAAAGTTAAAATGTGCTAAAAATGGTTTCTTAAGGCATTTTTGGAGTCAAACTAAGTCTTTATGAGAATTTGGAGCAAAAGGAGGCTGCTGTTGAAAAACTGCCAAGTTGGATAGATCTGAAAAAAGTCTGATAGATCTGAAAAAAGTGAGATCGATCAGAGTTGTATCGATCAAACCTAGATTGATCAAAATTTGGATTAATCGAACAAACTCTGATCGATCGAAGAAAAGTTGGATCGATCGAAAATGTGCTGGCAGTGAGCTGTTTAATTTCCGAGCGCGCCAATTTCCACCTGCCAAAAAGTTACGGATTAGATATTTTTGGGCTATATTTCTGACTTAGTGGCTAAGAAAAGGACCTTCTATTTAAAGGGAAGTGACCCATTTTGTAAAAGAGCTTTTTATCATTTTATTTTTACATTATAATTTTAATTTCTCTCTCTGAAAAAGTTGGAGATTAGGGTTAGAAGAAAAGAGGGAAGTGGAGGCACATCTCAAGAACCCATCTCTAGATCCACATACTCTCTATCTCTAGAGCTTCAAAGAATAAGAAGAAGAAGAGGAAGAAGAAGATGGAGCCATGTTTGGAGCTTACCCTTGAGGGTTTTATGACCACATCCACCTCCCCCATGATTGGCTAGATCTACACTTAGGGCTTGGATGAGCCCTAAGTCTTGTGTAATTTAAACCCTTGTATTTCCATTTTTGGGGATTTATATATATTGTTGTGATTGGTGTTCTAGCCTTGTGAATTTAATGAATCTTGGTATATTTCTATGATTTCTATGGTTTAATCTTCCTATTAATTCTCTAATTTATTTACATATCTATGTGTGATTAAATTAGGAATTATTTCTTACATGATTCATATGGATTAATTCTTTCTATTGGTTCTCTATTTGATTACATGTTGTTTTATGTATGATTATTTGGGAATTGATCTCTACACTAGTTTCTCTATGTTGGTTGCATGTCTATGTGTAATTAATTAAGGATCTAGTGATGGCTAGACATGGATTTTTATTAGATGGGTTTGTCAATTAATTTGATGGATTATTTTTATACTTGATAGGTTGTTCTATAATTTAATTCATGCTTGTAGGTAGGTAGACAATCTATACTTGATTTGATATTCCATGGCTTATTATTACAAATTCCATGATTCTCTAGATTGATGTGTGCTACAATTGTGACTAGTTTGATGGGTCATGCTTAGATTTGATGAGTTGTTCTATACTTAGTTTATTTGTTGGTTAGGTAGACAATTTATGCATGAATTTGATGGTCCATGCTTAATATTGTAATTGGTAGTTGCATTTTGTTCACAACAATGTATTCCTCATTAATGGAAAACAAGTGGTTAATTACATGAGCTTAATGGTGATTCCAACACCCTAAGACCTCTCTTCATATCTCTTAAATCCCTATCTCAACTTAGTTTATTTTAATTTCATTTTAATTAATTGAATTTTAGTGTAATCAAACAATTAATCTCTCTTTTGCAATCTTGTGATCCACTAGAGTCGAAGTTAAATTCCAATACGTATAATCTCTTGGGACAATCCCTACTCACTTTTACTACGTTAGTAGTAGTGGTGGTAGTTGTTTTTATAAATTTAAATTTGACCTAAAAGGCTTTTCTTGAACCGCACATTCACTACATTATTTTGACATATACAAGCGGTCTCGTCAAATTTTGGCGCCGTTGTTAGGGATTAACGGTTTAATTGGAATTAGACTAGACAATAGTGTTAATTTGATTGCTTCTATTTTTATATTCTTTTCTCTTGTTGTCATTATTATTTTTCAATTAGGTACTTGACTACAAGAAAGGCAAGCTTTGGAACTTGAAGCAATCATTGGAGCTTAAAGCTAACATTGGAATTTGAAGTTGCTTAAGGACCGTTGTAAGCAATTCTTAGAACTCTTGTATTTTAATTGTTTCACTTCTTTGCATACTTGAGATAGCCCTTGTTGGGGCTCATTATATTGCTTAAATCTTTGTCCAAGCATCGGCCCGTGTGGAGGCCATTATTTGTTGCATTTGGATTTTGCATGTGGATAGAGCCATTGTTTGATCCAAGTTTGGGGGAAAATTACTTCCCCTCACCTTATGTCCCTCCACCATATTTTGATCCTTATGAGGTTGAGTCCAATTCATTTCAACATGCATCATCTTGTTATGGGATTGACTATTCTCATTATCCTCCTTATGACTATTACCCTCCCCCACCATTTTATAAAGAACCACCTCCATCACCTTATTCACCCGGATTTGAAGATAAAGTGTTAGCTTTACTTGATGTACATATTTCACAAACTCCACTTATTAATTCACATTCTCAAATTTTAGCCAAGCTTGAAGCTCAAGTTGAGCAAATTGCAAGTACTCTTTCTCATCAAGAGGAGGAGTAAGAGGCAAATGAAAAAATGGTAAGAACTTCAATGTATATAGATGAGGATGATAAGAGTGAAGAGGAAGAAGTAGCAAGTGAGCTAATGCCTAACACTCTATCTTGAATAGAGGAGGAAGTGGCAAGTGAGTTGGTGGCTAATCCAATAGAGCATAATATGATTAATGAGGACTTTCCTTATTTTGATTATGATTTTATCTCCACCATTGCTACTTTAGAGAGTGAGGAAACGGTGACCACTATAGAGGTAGGAGAGGAGGAAGAGGAACTTGTTGAAGAGAACCTTCCATCTATTATCTCTAATGATCCTCTTGAGACATGCCCTTTTGAAATGTATAATATTTGTGGTTTTGACCTTGAAAGCTCTAAAAATGAAATAAACTCTCTAATGGACTCCTTAGTTAACTTGGAAGGTGAGGAGATGGTATTTTTGAGGAAGAGAAGAAGGATGAAGAGAATGTGTTTCTTGATATTTCAAATGAGTCTTTAAAAGACATTGACTTGCCAATTCACAAAGGAAGTGATTCTTTGAA